TATCTAAACAAAATTGTTCTGATAAATAGGCATCTGCTAATGCCAGCTGCGCTCTGTCTTGTGGTTCACTTTTTGAGGTGTCATACTTGCAACATTGGGAGGAACTGGGCAGCAGGCTTCATTCTTAGGCAGCTTCCCTTTATTCTTAGAACCTCCTTTAAATATAAGCTGTCACTTAAGTAATTTGTGAGAAAATCGGGACAAAAGCTGTTTCTGCTCTGTGTTTATTCTCCTCATGGCAACCCAAAGCAAACCTTTGTCCTGTCCTCTTGCCCTCTGGGATGGTGCCATTGGTCATCTGTCCTTTCTCTGTCAGACCTCTTCTTGCTCTGTGTTTTTCCAGCTAGTGATCTACATTCTTGTCTTTCTCTTCCTCTAGCCCCATAAACTGCTTTGCATAGATTTTGTCTTCTCTCTTGGCATTCCTGATCTGTCCCTGTGTTTATAGATGAGTCCATTGTGGGACATGAAAACAGAAAGCAGGGAAGGGAGAACACTCATTTTTCCCCTTTTTCATCTAGTGTCCTACCACACTAGCCTTGAGCTGGCTTCATCATCAGTCTTCTTCTCTGCTTCCTTCCATCCTTTAATGTGGCATGCCTGAGTGTATTCTAATTTCACTGACTGTGTCCATGTAATGTTAGCAATTACTCTCCTGGGGAACTGGAGCTGTGGGTTCAAATCCTTTTAATTTAAGGATGTTCCACAGCTAGTACTTCACACTTTTTGGATCAATACCTGAGTGGCATTTCTGTTGTGGAAAAGGCAGATGCTACTGCTGACATGGCTGGGATGATTGGATGGGGCCTTGATAGACCTTTCTGCCTCTTCTCTACACCTCCAAGAATGTAGCTGCAGGACTGGGACCATCCTTGCCATGCTTAGTTTGCCTTTTGAACCTGTCCAGTGCCCTCAAGAAAGCAACTGTCAGCCCCCCCTAGGAAAACTTCCAAGCACCTGGAGAGAGATAATGTGTTGGAAAGTGTAAGTTAATTGAATGGGCATTAACCACTTAAATATTGCACAAATACCCCAACTTCTGCAACCAGTCCTAAGTCTCTGCGGATGGGAAGGGAAGAAAAGCAATGCCTTAAAGCTTTATAAATAAAATTACAAATGCATATGTGTGTAATATATATTTATTCATGTAAAGAAAAGTACCCTGCAACATTCTCCACATTAGTCACTGTTTCTTGATGAATCCTTGGTGTTTTATTTCCTACTGATAAGTATGTGGGGATCAGGTACTCAAGTCAATAGGAACAGGGTTGAACTGAGACACAGGTTTTAGAAGTTTAGACACAGGTTTTAGAAGACCTACATTTGAACCCTAGTGGGGGTTTTGTTGTTTTGGGGTTTGTTTTTTTGTTGTGTTTTTCTTTTTTTTTTTTTTTTTTTTCATTTTGAGGTGTTAAAAAATACTGAAAATTTGATCTGACATAGATCAAGAACGGCATCCAAAACTGCAAACTACTTTTGTAAAATATAAGCTGCAAACAGCAGAGATCTTGTAATCTAGTAGGGACTTTGATTAAAACTTTGCAGGAGAAATTCTTATTAGTTGTTTCTGACCGACATTTTACATAAAGATAAAATTCTAAGTGAGCACTATTTTCTACTGATTGAAAAGCCATAGAGAACTACTGTGAAAAATTTGGCACGTGGGTCCCATCTCCCTCTAGTTAAAGGTTTTGAAAACATACTTGCCCCCTTCTTGCACTATTTTCATCTCACCCTGAAGCCCTGATTTTATATCTTCAGTACAGATTGCAGTAAGGTAATTCTAACATGAATTCATTGACTTCAGCAGAACAACATCAGGAAAAATTTGTCCCAATTTTTAAAAACATTATTGATTAAAAGTGAGACTACTATTCCTACATATGGTAAAGACATCTACATTGTACAGTCAGAACTAATAGTCCCTTACACCTCACAAGCATTGGCTGAAGAAATGGCTCTATTGTCCCGGTATTAAGCGTACTGTGGGGAGTAACCAAAGACTTCCTATCAGTTAGGGGTTTAGGAAATACTAGACTCACTCTTACGTCCTCTGCAGCAAATGTTGTTGCTCTTCAGCATCATCAGGACCTGAAATGTGTTATATCTCTGCTTTATGCTACTCCATGCTCCACAGATTTCACAGAGAGTTGGTAACTGTGGCAGTTATGGTCCTCTTTTTTGCAATTCTACAGTATTAATATTTAGGGATTTTTTTTCAGTCTTTCAAGTCCATTGCTTTAACCTTTAAATCAACATATAGAATTCAACTTCAGAGCATTGCAATGTTACGATAATGATCATTGTTTAAGCAGCTTTGTAACTGATTCTGATTTTATAGTCTAGCTAAGTGGTGAACTCTTCATTACCCAAGGTAATGCACAAGGCAGCTGGGAGGACAAATGAGAAAACGCTTAGATAAACTAAAAGCATAGCTACACAAAACATCTGTAGGTTGGGATGGTCAGCAAGGCTGTAATGGAGAAAGAAGAGGTCAGTGACACAGGTTTCATCTCCAATGTGAAAGGCATCTTCCCCAGGGAATGATCCGCAGCCCTTGGGCCAAGGGGTGAAAAGCAGCTTGTGTGAACAGCACTGGAGGCTTGTCCCTTCTGCCTCTCACCGCTTCCCCCAGAAACCTATCCCTGGTCTGGGCTGGGTGTTGGTGGTACCCTTGTACTCTGGGACTTAATTTATTTATCTGTTCAAAATGTTTGAAATAGCAGAAGGTCTGTGTTACAGCCTGCCATTTCACTGGCATGATTTTGTGGGCTTGTGTTGCATCTGCTAGAATGTGGCTTAGGGCCTGCCACGGTGCTTGAGGACAGACAAGCTGCCAGATAGTTCTGGGAGGTGTTGAGGCATGGATGGCGAGGACTTGAAAAGTCAGGGGAGTGAAAACCCTTGAAAGTTATTGCTATGTCTGTAGTGCTGACTCAAACCTACTTGGGAAAGTCACTCACCAAATGTGGCTGTGGCTCTGCAGATCTGTGTGTCTGTACTAGGAACATACTTAATTCACAAAAAAGGTAATTCAGCTCAGATACCTGAGAATAAAGTATAGTTTTAAAAATAACAACAAAAAGTCATAATAAGAAAGAAAATAACTCAGTAATAATGAAATAAAAACAGTCAAAGATGAGTCCCATAGGATTATGCAGAGGATTAGAGTTACTCCATAACTGTTGGCTGGCTGAGCACTAAAGCCGCCAACCATCATTTCCCTTCTGCACTTTTCAGCCATTTGGTTTCAACTGGGCAGATCATTTGTGTTGTTGATTCTAGGTCCAAAATAACAGCATGTAACAAACCACTGACCCTTCTGGAGCAGCCACTGGCAAATGCAGGAACTCCATGCATGAGGCATTTGCTGGCTGAAGTGATCTCCAAGTTTTCAGTCCAGTGTTGGGGCAAAGTGTGGGAGCTCCAGGAGTGCTAGGTGCCAGCTGGCCTGGCTAGTCCTGCAGCAGTTTTGAGCAAGCCTGTGGGGCCTTGAGGATTCTCTGGTGGTGTCTCAAGGACCTGTCACTTGAAGCTTTGCTTGAAAAACCTCTTCTGTCTTGTCAACTGAGGTAGATTTCCTAAAGCTGACAGGTCTCAAAAGTTCTTTTGAAATTGTTGTGCATTGATATGTTTTTGTTCCTAATGGACATAGAGGCATTGTACTACTTTTTTTTTTTTTTTTTAAGTAAATACTGCTTTTTCCTCCTCTTTTAATTTTTTTTTTCAACACTTTCAGCTTACACTGATTTAATGGCCACTATTATAAGTGCTGCAAATTTAACTTCTGAACCCTGCATAGACAGTGAGAAAATATTCATACTTTTATAAATGCTGAACATCTCTAGGTTTCTCTCTGGTGTTGGTTTTACCGATGCTGAAGATACTCCAAATACTGAGGCCAAGATAGTGTTTAAAAAGACAGGCTGGTACCTTTTTCTAAGGACCACTTTCAGCAGGGCTTGGTTTTCTAAATGACTTTATGAATCTGGGTCTGAAAGGACATGAAGGTAGGTTGGAAAGGCAAGGAATTTTTGACAATTTTAAAATGAAAGATGCTGCTGTGGCATATACATGGATGTCAAACTCTTATTTCAATCATATGAAGCAATTTTAGCTGCAGGAGAGGTTTCTTTTGAAAGCAGGAAAAGGTGGAGAAATTGATATCCGAAGTGCTTTTGTTTTTATTTCTACTACTAATATGTCCCTTTACTGCAGCTGCAGACTCTGTAAAGTATTTACTTTGCAACCTCTTCAGAGATTTCTTCTGTTAGTGGCTCTTCTCAGGCCAAGGTAATTTCCCTGAGCATTTGTACAGATCTGCCCGGGCAGATGGAGCTCGTTAGCCCTGTAAGGCAATCCATCTACATCCTGAGGACCTCGCTGCCACTGTCCAAGCGTGCTTGGCCCCGGCAGGTGAACCTCAGGATTAAAGGGTGGGCTCAGTTCCGCGCACACTGTGTCTCACCTAAAAAATCCAATGCGCAGGCTGGAAGGTGGAAAGACCTTCCCCGGTTCTTCGTTCGCGAAGACTGGCCATTGTACAGATCTGAGTGTTTTGACTTGACTGACACTAAAGAAGCTTCTTTTTCTAGAACAAGTCCATTTTCTCTCTGAGCTGACCTAACACAAAATAGGATGAGGTGTATCTCCTGTGTCACTGAGGCTTACAAGCCCAGCAGCAGGCAGTGAGGAATGTGCTGAAGCTTCATTTGAGGTTTTGTTTTGCCCAGAAAATCCTTCGTGTCTGGCTGCCGAGCAGAGCTAACAAGCAACCTTGACAGTTTTCTACTTCTCAATGTCTGTCTCATCTCTGAGCTGTGTAGGAGTTTGCAAAGGCAGATTAATATTTAACATACCTGAAGTCTTTGATCTTTCAATTGGAGTCTGAATACATCTAAATCCTCATAAAATGCAGACAGAGGAGATGATGCTGCCTTTAATTCACTAATGCAGAGAGTGGAGCACCCTCCTTATTTCAATTCCTTCTTCCATCTCAGGCCATTTAATTCTGCTCTCCAGCTTGTCTGTCAAGAATCCTTATCACCAGTCTGCTGGGTGCTCATGCTGAAACTGCCTAATTTCCAGGCTTTCAGCTGTGTATCTGAACCACTTGGCTTGAAAGCCTCTTTGTCTGATCTTCTGAATCCTGAAATGCCCCTGCTAAAAAAAAAACAGGTGGGATACCCTGCCTGGGATGTCCTGCGGGCTGGTGACCATGTGCTCTTCTGGCCTGTGGGGTGGGACCTGCAGGCTGAGGCAGGTAGGACCCACATCCTCTGTTTGCTCAGCCCACAAACCCTGTGTCTCAGGGGTGGCTGATGCTGAGGGTTAAACACTACATTCAAGTGCCTGGAAGAGCCTTCCAGGCATGAGTCTCTGATTTGGATCAAAAGGGGCTCATAAGTCCTTGCTCCAGATCTGGATGAACAGTGAGAACTTGGGGGTGCATTGTGGAGTCCTCCTTCTCTGCTGTGTGGGTGTAGCATCAGATGGTGTAGCAAGAGTGTTGTAAGGCAGAGCAACCAGACCTGGTACTCCTGCCATACCCTCCACACATGAGAAGGGAGACAAAATCTGCTCCCATCAGACCCCCTTTCTGCAGTCTCCTAGGGGATAATGGAAGTACAAACTAGACAGTAATTCAGAGGAATAATTTATTCCTGCAACTTCAAAGTCATCTACTTGATCTTGCTGCTAACATGTCTGTTCTGCCATTTAACACCTTCAGATCATCCCAAAACTAACAGTTCCAGCCTCCTAGACCCCAAATATGTTAAGTCATACAGACCCACATACTGATCCCATACCTGAGGCTAATCCTACTTGACTTATTTTTGAAGAGATTCAGGGAGTGGAGAGTAATATAGCTCTAGATATAAAATGCACATGTCTGTATTGTGGCTATAAAAGATGATATACAGGTACTTTCTCTTGAAACCCTGATATGACTTTCAGCTTATTTGTGTAGTAGAGAGTTTTGGTGAAAGAAGGACTGGAAAAATATACTAGAAGTATATAAATAACACTTTTGTGAAAGTATTTCTACAGGCCCCCTAACTACTGTCTTTTGATGATCCTTTTGCACAAACTCCATTTCTGTGCTGTTGTTTTCTGACACATCTCTTCACAGCCTAATTTCAGATAAGCCATTCACTTGTAGGCTTAGACAAGGGTGTGTTTCAAAGGTGATTCTCTTCAGGAGTTATTGAAGACAATGATGTAACTTCATCAAATGATACAGTGAAACATTACCTGCCTTCCACCCTCAATGACTTACATGAGGGCTATTGTATCAGACAATTTGCTGGGCATAATTCCAGTGGTCAGGTAGATGGGAAGTAAAGTTTCAGGCGTTGAAGTTGGTCTTGTCTTCTACTGAATTGCCTCTTTAGAGCAATATCCACTCTTTCTAAGTGGGAACTTAATACTAACATCTTTTAGTGCAAGACCAGGTGGCCAAGAAGGCCAATGGCATCCCGGCTTGTATCAGCAATAATGTGGCCAGCAGGACCAGGGTAGTGATTGTCTCCCTGTACTTGTCATTGGTGAGGCCACACCTCAAATCCTGGGTTCAGTTTTGGGACCCTCACTACAAGAAAGACATTGAGATGCTGGAGGGTGTACAGAAAAGGACAATGGAGCTGGTGAAGGGTCTGGAGCACAAAGTCCTGTGAGGAGCAGCTGAGGGAGCTGGGATTATTTAGGTAGGAGAAAAGGAGGCTCCGGGGAGACCTCTCTACAACTACCTGAAAGGAGGTTGTAGTAGGGTGGGGGATGGTCTTTTCTCCCAGGTAACAAGAAATAGGATGAGAGGAAATGGCCTCAAGTTGTGCCAGGAGAGGCTTAAATTGGATATTAGGAAAAATTTCTTTTTGGAAAGGGCTGTCAACCCTTGGAACAGGCTGCCCGGGGAAGTGGTTGAGTCACCACCCCTGGACATATTTAAAAGATATGTAGATGTGGCACTTAGGGATATGGTTTAGCGGTGGACTTGGCATTACTAGGTAATGGTTGGACTTAATGATGTTAGAAGTCTTTTCTGATCTAAACAATTCTATGATTCTAAGCCCATTATTACATATACTGTATTTTCTCCATTTGCCTTTCCAGATCCCTGTCTCCAGTGAGAAACCACAAACATACAATTGTCTATTATTAGCATTGCTTAATCTCCTGGTTAATTAAATTTTTTCTAAGCTTTATCTCACCCAATTTAATGGCAAACCAAACTGCTAAATGTGCTGCTGCAAGTTTCATGTGTGTCTGAGGAACATACAACCTGCTTGGAGGAGCTGCACGTGTTCTTCTCATGATGTGTGGATTATGGCATGCAAAAATATATTGTGTTAGTAGTAGGATGCTGCATGTGTTCAGAAACTGTTGAGAGTTTTTGGAATTCTTATAACTGTTTACTCATTCTTTTGTTTAGGAGTCAGTGACCTGTAAGTGCTCATTATGAAGAGAGATCTGGTTTTCTTGGTGACTCTAATTAGCCTTGCCTTCCTGTCACTGCTAAGGTCTGGATATCCTCAACACATTGCAGAGGAGTCCTGCTCTGTTCAGATCCTTGTTCCAGGCCTCAAAGGTAATGTGAAAGCCTACTCCATTATTCAAATATTAATCTTTTTCTTCTAACAGGCTCATTTGCACCACTGACAATTTCTAACAGAGACAAAGAAGGTGCCTTTCAGTTACCCTCTTATTTGCAGTTACCCTCTTATTTGTTCCATTTGTAGACTCCTTAAAAATGGAGTTTTAAGGTCCATAAAGAAGTGAAATTAAATGTGTTAAAATAAACATGGTTCACAGAATGCATACCAATCTCCCAAATTTACTCCTGATCAGTAGTGCTTGTTACTCTGATACACTGCCTGGTTACTCTCTGTGTTTACACTCAACAGTGGGGCACATACCCAAAGACTGCAAAATCAGGCCCTACTTAATTATGCCTGTAGAGGTTTTAATTTCGATGTTGCAATGTAGTGTGAAGTATTTTGTGTTTTCTAGTATTTTGTTTGTATTCTCTTGATTTTTAAAAGCTCTAATATCTTTTAGAAGAAAGAAAACATTAGTTAGTTTTTTGGCGTTTCTATAATTTTTGTGGAAAAAGGCAACATTTTATAAAATATGCCCCTAAACTATTGCCCAAAGAAGATGGTATAATAAGTTATTGATCTTTTCATAGCAAAAACTATACCTTACATAAGAAATCAACCACTGGGAAGAATTAGCATTTTAAAGCAATGGCATCCATTACAGTGTGAAATCCCAGCCCTGTTTAGTCAATAACAGTAATTTCCTTTGTGAAGGCTATAGTATTTCTATTAGAATATACTACTGGAATATACCTATGAATGTGGGGAAGTACTTGTTAACTAAAGACAAAAAAAAAACATAAATCCCACCAGCTTATCATTAACAATATATCAAAAAAACATTGTTTAAGAACCACACAATGAACCTTCCATTTTCTTGTAATTTTGCCTTGTACTGTCACAAAACTCACCTACCCAGGAGTGGTACCACTAATCTTTTCTAATGTAAACCTGGACTTTACGCAGTTGCCTGAAGAACACAATATGAGCTGCAGACACTGTTTGTTCTGGTTGCCTGATTGGTAAGAGAAGGCCCAGTTCTGTTCTGCAGTTGTTCATACAGCTAAATTGTGAGTACAGCCTGGCCATAGGTTTGGCTGTAGTGTAAACTGCCCTTTCCAGATGCTGCCCACTTTATATGGTGCTGCCCTGTGCTTGAAGCAAGAGAATTGGGCTTTAGGGTGCGGGTTGTGCTTGGCCAATTGGCTTCAGGAATAAAAAAGACCTTTGTTTATTCATTATTATTTATTGCTGTTTTGTTTATTATTATAGATGCAACTTTGGATGCCTGAACTCAACCAAAAGCTATTTTTTTCTATTTACTTCAATAAGAGACTTTTGAAGTCTTAATAGTATTTAGACCTTCTGCAGATGTCCTAGTTTTAAAGGACAACACTGTATCCTCAATTCTGAGGTTTGATTAAACTTGAATAATTTGTTTAATATATTTACTGTGAAAAAGACATAAGATAATGCTGTTAATGTGACCACAGAGGAGAACACAATCTCGTTAAATATATGTTGTCCAAAATTACATGAAAGATCAGTTGAAAGGTCAGACTGCACAGCACTGGGGACTGAAGCTTTGAAATGACTTCATTTCAGAGACGTTGACAGGCTTGTACAAGTTTTGTGACTTCTTTGCCTTAGTTTCCTTACTTGTGTAATCAGTCAAAATTAACATCTGTGATTACCATTTTAATGCAAGGATCATAATTATTATTATTATACACAGCAGAGGTTTTTAAAGTGTATAAACAGTACAGGACCCTGACCCTTTGGCAAAAGGCAGTTCTAAACCTGGAAACCAGAAACAGCCCTGAAAACCATCATATGTTAATGATTTCACTCCATTCCATGAGATGGAAGCCTTGCAAAATTGAAAGAGATTGATGTACAAATTCAGTGAAGCACAAAATGGCCTGATACAGCCCTAGTTAATGTGAAATCCTCAAAAAGCTCTCAATGCTTCAGCTATGCTGTCAAAGGGACTGGCTCAGAGAAGTGACAATGCTGTCCCCCACTGGCACAACTCCAACCCATTTTGGGGGCCAAGGCTTCCTTTAAACTGAGAATATGTTGGCTATGTGCCCAAATTTCAGCTCCCATGCAGCGGGATTTGCTCACTACAGTTTTTAGATCTCCACCACCTCCTGCTCGGCTGGAGTGCCAGCAACATCTCCAGTGGTGGAGGAACAGAGCACCCTTCTGCTGCTGGGCATGACACTGTCAGGATTTGGGAAAAATAGGTACAGGAAAGAAATGGAAGAAATTAGGAAGACCATGGGGTATGAGAATGGCAGAAGAAAGCCTAAGAGGTGGTGCAGAAAGTGGAGCCCAAATGGGGCGGTGAAGGAGAAAGTCATCAGGGAAAAGTACCCAAAAGCATTGGGGATTTTAGAAGAACAGGAAGAGGTACAGGGAAAAAAACCTAAACAAACAAAAACCCAGAAAAGCATGAAGAATAAGACCAAATAAAAAGACGGGAAACTTGAAAAAAAAAAAAAAAAAGAGACAGAAAACCAATTAAGAACCCACAGAATAAAAGAGAGAATCAGAAGGGGCATGAGATGAGAATGGAGGTGGAAATGGATGATGAAGAAAACCAGTAAAGACATCAGAACTAGAAAAAGCACAAATGAGTTTAAGGTCAGCAGTTCAGGTTTTAGGGACTAGGTTTGTTTTTTATTCCCGTGTTGTTTTTTTTTTTTTATAAACTCAAGAGTATAAAGAAATAAGATGAAATGAGGAAGGAAAAAAACATAGCTCTGAGAATGCAGACAGCAGACTGAACCATGTTTTAGAAAGCTGACAATATTAATAATGGGAAAAGTGTGTTGTGTGTGAAAAAGTGATGGATGATGAAGCCTTGCTACATAGCTCACTCATATTCCTCCTGAAGTCCAGTTCCTTTTGATAGACCCATGAAATTGAAGTTACTGCTATTGTGAAGAAGAAAAAAAATAACATGGAACAATCCTTGAATGCTTAAATTCTCAGTTTGCTACCTTATTTTTGTCTCCCTTTTAGAATTTAAAGCAGTAATTGTCTTAATAGTCTGAATGACATTCAGTACATTAAAAAGTTGATGCTAGATAAATAAAACCAATTGTTTTTTACACCCACACGTGATGCATCTACTCACACAGGGAATATGAGTAATGGAAGAAAGTTATCACCAGCCAAGAATGCTTAATAGCTCACGTAGTTAATATTTGGTGTGCTATTTTCATAGATGGTACAGCTTAAGAGAGGAAGGATATGAACATAAGCAGACAAATCCAGTCCCAAAGAATCCACAAAAAAAGGCAAATCAACAGCAATGGTAAAATAAATCACCTAAATTAAGAAAGATCTTTCCCAGAGATGATAGAAGAAGAAGACTGTAGTAGTGTCAGGGTTGTCCCTGCTACCCGTGATCCTGCTGCAGCTCAGTTTGGTGGCAGGGCAAAATTTCTTTCCCAGCACTGTGGAGCCCTGCTAAGGACATCCCACCCTGTCTCAGCTGCACTGTGCTGGTGAAGTGCAGCACATATTTCATGCAGTGGGGCTGAAATAAAGAGACATCCAGGAAGGGATGGAGAGGAGAATGAACAGAAGGTGTGACTGCAAAGGGACTGTGGCTGGCAGAAAAGGCCACAATGGAGCAATTGGGTAGGGACCGTGAGGCACAGGTCCCAACCTCCTGCTCTTAAGGGACTTGGTTGTAGACCAGAAGAGGCTGGAGACCAGAAAGGGGGCATGGAGGTGTCTTTCTCTAATTCATGAATCAAAAGTTAAAGTTATTGTTAATAGGCGAGATATTAAATTGATTGAAATTCCTTGACAGAAAACTGGTTTTTTGCCCGTGACACCTGCAAAGGCTTTGCTTCCTCAGCTGCACAGTGCCCAGGTTGCATATAGCAAAAATAGGGACTTAAATGTGGCAAAGCTGAGCTGGACCACTGATCAATTCCTCTTGGCCAAGGTCTTGCTCCTTAAAACAGGGTATAACAAAAAAGTGCAGAGTGGTCTGTAGCTGGGCCTGTAATGGGATAATCTCCTCCCAGAGAAAGTTTCTAAAACATCCACACTAAGGAACGTGGTGCCATCTTATTATAGGAATGAATGCAGGCAAGTGTAATGGCCTGAAGCAAGAATGATCTATTTTATTGATCCCTAATGCACAGCTTTCACTCTGAAGAACGTGTAAAGCAATAGGCTGTAATAGCCTGCTCTCAGCCTCCAGAGAGCAGGGGAAAGTCATTGTCAGGATTTATCTTTGGGAAGCAAAAAACTCATAACCAGCCCTGAGGGGTGAAAGGCAATCATACAAAGCCTATTGGTTACCTGATAATAAAAATGTGACGTTCCCAAATGTGCCAAATTATAGCCCGTTTCATGCTAACAATATTATTCACTGGGGATTATGTGAAGTTTGTCCTCATTAAGGTCAGAGAATGGCCTATTTTTGCATGTCTGAAGGCAGGGAATATGGTCTGGAGCCTGCTGGCAGCCTGAAGAATGAAAGTATAACAGATGGAGGACGAAGTTCAGTTCACATCCATCTAGGTCTACAATAAGGAGAGAGATAGAGAGAGCTGGAGGCTGCGTATTTGAAACGTGCCATGTTGTGGTATGTTTTTACATGCCATCTTTCTGGCCCCTCTGTGAGCCACTGCTGCCAGCTATGCCAGAGAGCAGAGCTTGGGCTCTGACTTTCCTGCTGTGGTGCTCCCCTCAGCTTCCTGGAGAGCAGTTAATGCCCACTCTCCTCTATAGAAATGCAGTGCTGAGGCATCACGTGTGCTGTGCTGGCTCCAGGTTTTAGATATCGACATCTTATTTTCTGTGGGAGCCATTGAACTTTCTTCTCCATCATATAAATCTTTTTTTGTCAAGGTGGCTGTGTAAATCATTCTTTAAACTTCTGTTTGTAAAAGAGATTTTAAGTCAATGGCAAAGTACAATAGTAGGGGGCAAAAGAAGCTAAGCATCCTCAAATTTTCAATGAAAGGAACCAGGGAGGAAAACATTTACAGAAACTGATGTTTAAATATGGTGAACATAATGATGCACTGTGAGCCACATGCATGTCAGTACACTGCATAGTGGTTCATACCTCAGAAATTAAAAGGCACAGTATATACTGAGAATATGGAGTAGGGAGTTACCTTTTCATGCTTAAAAATGATCCTCTAAATGATGGATGTAGCAATGCCTTCTTATATGTCTGATGAACAGCATTTAACAAAAAAAAATTGAGATTATAGCTAAACCATTTAGACTTGAGACTTAAGCATGTCCTTAGCAGAGGCTCAAAAAGCATTTAGTGAACACAGACACAGAAGTTTATGTGCTAAGATGGGACCTAATTCTGGAGATTCTACTTAAGTGAGTTGTGCTGTTAGGTTTTTTGTAGGTTGACAATACAAGTAACGTCCACAAAACTAGACCTGTTGTATGAGACCTCAGTAATGTATTGACTTAGGATTTGTCTATATTTACTCCAACTGAAGAAAATTCTGTTCTCTGTGCATCAAGTAAGGCTGTTAAATCAGATTGCATCTGCTTTTATTTTTTCACTGGAGAGAATGGCGCTCTTGTCATTGCTGCTAACAGAAAATTGTCTTGGTTCAATACAATTCTTCTTTTTGTTTCCTTTTGTATCAACAGGGGAGGCTGGAGAAAAGGGGGAGAAAGGTGCTCCGGGTCGTCCAGGCAGAGTTGGACCTCCAGGAGAAAAAGGTAATTTTGTTAAAGATGTTTGAAAGTCATTCCTGACAAAACGCTGTCTTTTCTTGTGAGGTGGTGATGATGGGAATCCTCCCTCCCTTTGCTGGGTGACTAAATCATCCTTGGCCATTTTTGTTTACTATTGTTGTGATTTCATCCAAGGTGGCAGCTCAGCCCCACATAGCCACTCACTCTCTTCCCGCCAGTTTGGATGGGGGAGAGAATTGGAAGAGTAAAAGTGAGAAAACTTGTGGGTTGAGCGATGCACAAGCAAAGCCTAACAAGGAATTCATTCACCAGTTCCCATGGGCAGGCAGGTGTTCAGGGCTTCAGGAAATCAGGGCTTCATCACACATAACAGTGACTTGGGAAGACAAATGCCTTCACTCTGAACAACACCCTCCTTCCTTCTTCTTCCCCCATCTTTATATACTAATGCCATGTGGTAGGGAATATCCCTGAGGCCGGCTGTCCTGGCTGTGTCCCAGCTTCTTTTGCCCAGCCTGCTTGCTGGTGTGGTGGGATGAGGACCAGAAAAGGCCTTAACTCTATGCAAGAACTGCTCAGCAATAAAGAATACATTTCTGTGTTATCAGTATTGTTTTGGTCACAAATCCAAAATATAGCACAATATCAGCTACAGTGGAGAAAATTAACTTTATCCTGGCCAAAACCAGTACAGCTGTATGCACTCATTTGTAAAGTATTACTTTCTAGTCAAAAAGATTAATTTGGAAATTAAAAAAAAAACCCTCTGATTTTTTAGAAAGGTCTCTGTGAAGAAAGACATCATAATGTCTTCTTCATAATTTACCTTCTGCAAATGAAAATGTCACATGAGATCAGAGGGAAAAAATTACAAGGTTCAATTTTCTTGGGGTTTGTTTGTTTGTTTGTTTTTTGTTGTTTTGTTGTTGTTGTTGTTGTAGTTGTTTTTTTTGTGAATGTGAGCACTCGTAAGATATTAATGAAAACCATTGAGGGAAGACAGTAAACCATAACAGCCAGAGGTGACCATGAGTGTTTCCACATTTTTTGGATCACAGTTCTGTAATATCCATGGGAAAATGGTGATAAAGCTATTTGCATTGTAGTTCAAAAATATTTGGAGCTCTTGAGAGGAATGGTGCTCAGTAGTGTTCAGTTATACAGTGAGAGGAATGTGGCATTGCTGTCTTGCAGGAAATACTGTCTTTTCACATTTGTTTTCCTCCTGAAGCAAGGAGGAAATTTGACCTTCATAACTTTTCCAGGAGGTGTGTGTTCTGAAAGGTTCACATTAGGAATAATCAAAACCTTTTATTTCAATATTGAAATTAAAGATTTGATATTCCTGTCATCAGAACAATGGCGTGAGTTTTTACTAATCTGAGTTTACAGTCTTCCTTTCAAGGCAATCATAGTGATAATTTATACTTCCTTATGATGATGCATGATCTCTGTTCTTTTAGGCAGTTGTAGGAATCTAATACCTGCAGTTTTCCCTGGGACCAAAATCCATAGCTAGAGCTCTTCCCCCTACAATGCATTGAAAAATTTATAACTCCCATGCGATGTGTGTGTGTTCAGTCCATGTACTTACCTTATGTAGGTGTACTTTCAAGGACAGCTTTTAGAAAAAATACTGGAAACTAAAATTTCAACTCTTGCAAGGTAATGCAGCATGAAGTAAAAGTATGACAGAATAATTTAGGTTAAAAGGTTGTAAAGAGCTCATCTAGTTCAATCTCCTGCTTTAAACAGGGCAGACTTCAATATTAGAGCAGATTGCTCAGGGTTTTTTTCCAGTATGCTTTTGAAAATCTCCATGGATGGAGATTCCACATCCTTTTTGATCAGTCTGTTCACCAGTTTCATCATGAAAGACTTTTCCTTGAAGCCTACTGAAACTCTTCATGTTGTTGCTTGTAACTGTTGCATCTTGTTCTTTCTGTGTGTCTGAGAAGAAAAGGCTGCATCTTCTCTAGAAGCTGCTTATGAGTAGTGGAAGAATGCAGTTAGGTCCCCCCTTATCTTTCTGTACTGCAAGCTAAGCAAAACCATCTTTCTCAGCTGGACTCCCATTTGTTTCTCATGTAGGAGGGCCCAGAAATCTCTGGGTACTTTTATTCAAAGCAGTTTTTTTTTAGCCAGCCATTGGCCAGACTTCATCAATGCATAACAGGTGAGGAACTTAGCTGAACCCGTGGTATTCCTGTCAGCATATTTCTGCAGCATGTCGAGCTCCTCCTGACTGGCAGTGGTGTCCTCCAGCACATCAACCACTCCTGCCAGCATGGAGCTCCTTCCACTTCTTCCTCCCTGTCACTGGTAAAGGACTGGTTCCTGAGGAATGGCATTGATATCACCTGCTGATTAGACTTTGGCAGCCTTGCAGCAGTGCCAGATAGCAGTCTGATCACCCTTGAATGCTTCTGGGCAGTGCTATGGACCTGTGTACATCCAGGTGAAGTAGTCCCTCACTCAGTCATCCAATTCCGGGAGTGACATGTCCTCCCCAGATCTTTGCTACCAGACCTGCAGAACTGGGAGGCCAGAGAGCAGACCTTGCCAACAGAGACAGAGAATGCACTGCGTGCCTCTGCCTTGTCAGCCTCTTTTGGCACAAGGTTATCTTAACAACCTCTTGAGAACCCCTCTCATTGTGCTGTCTTGCGTGTTTCTCTAGCTTGGTATTTTGTCAAATCCCTTCAAAATGCTTTAGACCATCTGAGAAATGGAAGTTCTCTTTTTCAGTCAGTCCAATCCATGATGTAGCATTTAATTTATGTATTTTATACTGCAAAATTGTATTTATTTGGAAAATTGTTCTCATAAGGAATGCTTAACTCTAATAGTAATGATAATTTTCCAGTTTTCCATACCTCCAAAAGTAAAAAATTTTGACAAGATTAAAAGAAGGAACAGTGAAGTGGAAATATACTGCAAGAAAACACACTTGAAACAGAAAAGAGATGTGAGAAAATCGAATATTAATGCATACTGTATTGGTATTTTTCCAAGCCGCGCTTTCAGTTAAACACAGGCAAAATTTCTTACTACACCTGTAGCAACATATTTTTTCTGCTTTCCTTTATGCATCCAGGAATGTCTACAAACAAGCTCTTGCTTTAAATAAATTCTAATTAACTAGCTTTTCATTAACGCTGTACATTATCAGAATCACATTAATTTATTGTCTGTCACCTTTTTTTGTTTCATTTTTCTAGCATATAAGAAAATGTGCTTTGTTTGTTTGAATTCCAAAGGTATATAATAACATAACTTACAAAAGAAATGGTTTTCTTATGATATATTAGACTTGAACAGCTCAAGATTAGAAAGTGCTGCAGATGTTTTTACCATACCCTTTCCTCATGATATTTTCAGATTTTGGTAACTCAGAAACTGCGAAACATTAAAAGTTTCTGGTGCTTACCTGAAATAAATCTTGTTCTGACTGTCCTGATGCTTCAGGGTGACATCAGACATACTGATGTCTTTGGGTACTGATTAAGGTTAAATTCCACTTACTTTCCTCATTGCTTTTAATTAATTGTATAGGTCAATTATGATGCATAGCATGTCAGCAGAATATAAAACTGTGTTGGCCTTATGTAAAGCACAAAGCACTGGATCGAGTACAATGGCTGTTTCGGACAAGCAATGTGTACTGCAGTGCAAGTTTTGGGGTGTGAAGTTCATAGAAGTAACTGTCCCCACTTGCACAGTTGGCTGTACTGTGCATTCCCATGTTGGGAGTGAACTTAGTTATTTCACTGAGTCATGATGCAGTCTGTGAGGCCATAACTTCCATGTGTACAAATTCCACACAGATAGTTCAGTAACAGCACAGTCCCGTGAATATTCCCAGAGTATTTTGTGACAATCAAAATAAGGAGAGGAGGGTGAATTTGCTGTTGGAATGTATCATCAAAGGAACAGCACATTAAAAATGTGTTCTTCAAGACATTTTAATTTTCTTAGAACTGTAACCATTTGAAATTACATTATTTTAGTATTTTAAGTTCAGCCTTTATAGATTGCACTTAATTTATGCTCAATTATAATGGTATGTTAAGCAGAGTCACATCCTGTTCTTGGGCTTGGAACTCCACTATCTCTACCTTTGCAGTGTTAAAACATCAACACTGATTTTTGCTTTTGCCAGCTAACATTTTCCCAGGTAATTCTTGGGCATATTTCGGGAGCTGTCACAATGAGCAGCTTGCAAGTGATTATCCTGGCTTGAAGAGTAAGACAATTTAGTATCATGGAGTGCACCATTCTCAGCCACCAGGTTCCCACTGCCAGGGAACAGTCCCAGGCATTTAGTTTACTAGTACAGGCAGAGCCTCTTAAGTAGGAGAGAAGACCCATTAATTTAACTGGATTGGAGCCAGAGTGCTCAGTCATTTGTATAATCAAATTCTAAAAAGAGGCAATAATATCTTAATTTATATTTTATTATTACTGATTGCTCATTAATATCTAATCAATCAATCCTTTGCATTTCTGAGTCAACTTTTACATGAATTTATTGCTCGCTAAGGAGTGCTGCAGGCAGTATTCCATATAAAAGTCCTGACATTGACAGTTGTGAATTCACAAAGTGGGTATCTGGTTCAAAACTGTCTTTCAGCTCCACCTGAACTCAATACGATTTTGAGAAAATCTGTGGTAAACTGAGTGGACAAAAAAATGGCAGATGGGCTTCAGTGTAAATAAATATATTGCCTAGGGACATTTGGGATGCATAATTTAATCCATACTTACATGATGCCAAAACCCACAACTGTCACTTAAAACTCAAGATCTGCTCTGAAGTCATTAGCAGCAGTCCCAAAGCCAACAGAACACTGCCCATTATCAGAAAAGACACCAAGGAAAAAACAGGGAATTCTTTTTGCAGCTGATTTTGCTCTGTGTAAAATCCTGACACGCACTGTCTCAGGTAATGAGTGTGGCTCTGACCTCTGTCTCTCAAGAAGGACATGAGAGGAAAGAGAGGGGCACCAGAAATATGAAAAAGAACATCTACCTCATAAAGAGAAACTGGACAGGTTGAGAGTCTTGCATGTGTACAGAGTAGTCTGAGAGGGTTGTGACTGAGGTTAGGATCCCCAGATCCCATCATACCTGAAGCTACTGCGGACTGATCCAGCACTCCACCTGTGACAAACTTCAAGTAGTGGATGGGATTGTGATCTCCCTGTATTGCACCTTCTGCTGCCACCACAGGAAACAGAGTCTTGGGCTAGAGGAATCACTGGTCTGAGCAAGCTTGGTATTACGTTGTTAACATAATTCTAGCCAGATAGGTGTTTCATGAGGGCAGTTATTTGTCTTTATGTGCATCTGACTACAAACTCCTCCACTCAGGAATGTATCATACTATTACCATTTCTTCTGTTTTGAGTGTACTTTAAAATCCTTTAAATTTCTTTACTGCCTTCCTAGATTGTAATTTTTCTCACTATCTTTAGTTTTCTTTACAAATTTCCTAGCTATTCTGATTTCTAGTCAGTATGGATTGATAACAGTCTACTCTTTTTTCTCTCCTGTTTTTTTGTGCAAAGCTTTTAAAGTTTCACTTTGTCATTAAAATTCCAGTCTGCTATGAGTGTGATGGATCACTGCTGAGAGGTGTTTATTTCTCCATTGCCTACGATGGGAGCTTAGGTAAATAGTTTAGACTAAAAATCCTAATGTTCACATGGGTAATGCTTGGGTGAATGTAGTTGGCTTGCCTCAACTACATAAAATACCACCCGGTATTATGCACCGTTTGTTCACATAAGAATATCTGTTTAACGTCTTTGTCAACAACATGGACAGTGGGATCGAGTGCACCCTCAACAAGTTTGGCAATGACACCAAACTGAGTGACGCAATCGACACACTGGAGGGAAAGGATGCCATCCTGAGGGACCTTGACAAGCTTGAGAGGTGGGCCTGTGTGAACCTCATGAAGTTCAACAAGGCTGAGTGTGAGGTCCTGCACCTGAGTCAGGGCAATCCAAGCACAAATAGAGGATAGGTGGAGAATGGATTGAGAGCAGCCCTGAGGAGAACTTGGGGATGTTGCTTTATGAAAAGCTTAACATGACCCAGCAATGTGAGCTTGCAGCCCAGAAACCCAGTTGTATCCTGGACTGCATCAAAAGAAATGTGGCCAGCAAAGTCTGACGGAAGTGATTCTCCCCCTCTAGTCTGCTCTTATGAGACTCCACCTGGGGTGCTGTGTCCAGCTCTGGGTTCCCAACTTAAAAAGGACATAGACTTGCTGGAACAAGTCCAGAGGAGGGCCATGAACATGACCAGAGGGATGTGGCAGTGTGGCACTACCATGAAGGCAGTCTAAGAGAGCTGGGCTTTTTCATCCTGGAGAAGAGAAGGCTTTGTGGAGACCTTACAGCATGTCCAGTACAGAGGGGGTCTACAAGAGAGCGGGACAGGGACTTTTTACAAGGACATGTAATGGTAGGACAAGGAGGAATGACTTTAAACTGAAAGAGGGCATGTTTAGATTAGAAATTCTTTACCATGAAGGTAGTGAGACACTGGTATAGGTTACACTGGGATAGAAGTTGTGGTTGCCCTATTCTGGGTAGTGTTCAAGGCAAGCCTGGAAGGGGGTCTGAGCAACCCAGTCGAGTGGCAGGGGTGTTGGAACTAGGTGATCTTTAAGGTCCCTTCTAACCCAAACCAATCTGTGGTTCTAGGATAAGATGAAACTATGTTGTAACCACTGTTCCCTCGCTAATCACTGACCTTCATTGGTGTGGATAATTCAGATTATTTAGCATAAAGTGGTGATGTAGTTTGTTGGTGTATGAGAATTTTCTAACTTCCAGTTGCAAGTAGTTTTTAAAAATTAAGTGTCCTGAATGTAGGTTACTACTATAACACCATTAAATCTTTTAAAAATACCATTCTCATTCAAGTTTGGTTAACTATTTGCATTGGGAATACTGACTGCCGCAAGATTATCCAGGTACACTCTGGGAAAGACTTTTTAATCTTCGTCTGTATCTTATGTTCTTTTTCTAAGTATCCTCTGCAGATTGCTGTCAAAGATGGCACTAGAGTCAAGAGGCCTTTGGTGTGGTTTGGTACACTTCTACTTTCCTTGTTAGGTAGGTGTTTGTGATGTCCTCTAACCATGAAGAATTTCTGATTTGTCTTCAAATCCTTAAGTTTGGGAAGTAAACGACTGCTCTCTTCTCTTTGACATGATTAAATTAAATTTGTCTGTGACATGATGAACTTGTTTTTCTGCTGGATTTGGCTTTTTGACACCTTTTTTTTTTTTTTTTCTCTAAGTAGTTTTATACCTTCTTGTCTGTTCCAACTAATCCTGTTTGAACTTATTGCCATACTGTATGAAGACCCCCATTTATAGTGTTGCACAGAGCCAAACCCCTAATTTTTTCACTAGTTGTGCAGCCTACCACTTGTCTCTGGTATTTTTTTTTTTTTATTATTATTATTATTATTATTTATTTATTTTTTTAGCCTGAAAAAGCCACCAAGAAGATCATTTAGAGTTTCCTTATCTTCAGTTTCTTCTAAAATCCTTTAAGTCTTCTATAATTGGTTCCAATGTATGCCACCTTCACCTGGGAGATAACAGATAACTTGCTTCATATTCTCCATTCAAACTTCATGTTTGACTTCCCACTTCTGGTCTATGGAGAATTAATTTCTTTTATTGTCCTCATTTCTTTCCAACTCTCACTTCCTGATTTCATTAAGACTCTTCACACTGCATTTTTGACAACCATAGGGCCACTAAAAAGGCTTTAGAAAAAGTATTAAAACTTTTGAACCCCTCAAGGCAGATGGGTCTCTCTTGAAACCTTGTGATTTAGTCTGCAGAAGCAGAATAAGGAAGCCCCTGGAGTGGAAGCAGGGGTTAGTCACTCTAAGAGAAAAGCAAATCCAAACAGTTCTTTTAATGAGCACGGGAGGTTTAATGTATGTCTTCATTGCTTGAGATAACACAGTTTTACTTCTGAGCAGATCATGTAGCCTTTACTGGGTATGATGGAGAAGCAGCTCATTTTCTGGGCACTATTTATGAGAAAGAAAGTGAATTAATTTTGTATATTGTATTTTATTTATGCATTAGATCTACGTGTTTATTTAATTTCATCCTGAAAAGAGAAAGCATTCGAACATCTGATAATCTGTTACAGCAATCCCAATTCACAAATATGTAAAGCAAGAAAGGTCGCTTTCAGAGCAACATGATAAACTCATTACAAGCTGGTACTTTAAGGATTCTCAAGTAAAAACCCTCTCAATATACTATCTATATTGGATAAATACCCAGTGGTAGCATCAGCACATTTATAACTTGCACAGCATGAAGAATTGCATCTTTAAGTCAAGCCATGCAACTGTTCTGCAAATGAAGCTGTATTCTAGATCTTCAGTTGGCTCAGTGGATTACTTCCATTCTTCCAGTAGGAAAAACAGAAAAATGTTTTTGCTTTCTGGTGAAAGCCTGTGTTCAGTAGTGTCTGAATTTGATACTTATTGGAAACAAAGGAAGATCATCAATTGTAGAGTTTGCTAGTAATTAATTAGACCAACAAGCCATACACTTTTGGCTTCTCTCAGTTCAGAGGAAATTACTTCTTCTTGGTTCATGCCATCAAGTTACCATTGCTTGAGACTTCATGGAATAATACAGGGGACATCTCTTAGCCCAGTGGTGATCAGTTTATATTCTGAAACTTGTTATTTATTACACCTTAAGTTAAAGCTAATAATGAAATGAGTCATAATATTATCCAACTTTCAAAAATATATATGTCTGTCCAGCTGCAGTAACAACAGAGGGCAACAGACCTTCAGTTGCATAGATCCACAGCTGGGGCTGAGTTATGACAATTTGTACAAGTCCAGTTTCTGGATCCCTATGGTAGATTTTCATCCTAACTTGTCTCATTGTTTCCTTGCTCCTGTATAGACGAACTTCACCTAACAGATATTGCTTTGAGCAAAGAAACAATCTTTTCAACAATCATTGAAAAAAACCTGCATAAATATTTCCTAAAACAGTCTTGTGTTTCTGCAGGATGGGAGCCTCAGAGGACACTCATCCCTGTAGGCCCTCCATACCCACTCTCCGTTAATAGTCTGGTACAGTGGGAAACATTATCTCCTGTGACAATATTTATATTGTATAAATCAGCCATTAAGCCCAAAGTCAGCCCTCAGTTACAGTGGAGCTACTGTCTTAGATGAAATGTCAGTTGTGCTTGGTTCCTTTAGGTCTTCTCAACTCCATGGTAGTTTAACTCCACTGATTTGTGCCTGAATGCAATCCCCCTACCCTCTCACTGTCAACATAATTCTGTCAGGATCAGCTGAAACAAGTTTGCAAAAGCTTTTCCAGTGGCTCTCAGCCAACATCCATTTTCAATTACACCTTCATGCCTTGTTAATGTCAATTTCTTTGCAAAGTTGAAGTCACTGTCTAGGTTGTCATGCGCAAGTTCTTCATCAGGAGAGAGCTGGACCTCTGGAGTTCAATGAATACTGGGGATATAGCGTGTTTTTGCTCATTGTAAAAACTGATGCTGCAAGCATACTAGAATCTGAACGAATCAGACTACATTGCTACTTTGTGTCTTTCGTCTTTCTGTTATATAGGAGAAATGGGGGACAAAGGACAGAAAGGCAGCATAGGACGGCATGGAAAAATTGGTCCCATTGGTTCAAAAGGTATGTTTAATTCAATTTTTTCCCCATTTGTGTTCAGATGAAAATGTGTGATCTTTTATGTTTGAGAAAAGTTTAAGGGCTTTAAAAATGGTTACCCAGTCTCTGAGCTTCCCATGATGGGAATTTTCTTACACTGTAGTCAGCCAGGTTACTGACATCTCTCAGCCAGCTACCTTTTCCTCTGACAAC